TGTACCCAGACACACCCTGATCCTGAGAGTATCTTCTTCTAGAATCTATGGGACCAACTTGATTCCTGCAAAAGGAAAAATACTAGTGGTGCTACACTATATTATTACTCTTGAACTGCTGGAAAGCTGCACTGCACACTAGTACGAACATTTAATGACGGGCAATATCAATATAATGTTTATTATTCCATCACCTCAATATTATATTTTTTGTTTTAAGCTGTTACCCTCTAAAGAAAAATAATGAAGTCTTGTTTATTGCTGGAATATTTGCTTACATGTTTTGAATCTAATAAGGTTATTTAGTGCTAAAAGGCAAAAATCACATACTATGGATCAGCCTATGACAAAGGTAAATAAATGAGAAAGTGCCAATATTCATCATGGATGGAAATCTGGGTTATCATAAATAGAGCACTTAAACATCTATACAACCAAACTATCTGATGGTAAAAGACAAAAAAACAAATCCCACATGATGATAATATTTTTCATTCATCAATATGCAACACGAAACAAAAAAGCTGTAATAAATATGCCAGCAGAAAGAGAGAGAGTGTGCAGGAGTCAAACATGTTGTTTCTTGCCACCAATATTATGTATTCATGTGTGCATATATGTTTTTCTGTTTAATGAAACACCTTTACTCTCTTCAGTCACTGCACAGAGTTTCTGAACACAATATGTATGATTTATTATGCTTACGTCAAAGTGTTTAATGATGGTTTACTCGCAGTTTTGGCCTCAGTGAACCAACACGGCCCCATGTCCCCTTTTCCTCCACATCATTTATTTTTCCTGTCCTCCTCTTTGTACATTGATTTTTTTGTCGAACTACACTCTGCTTCCTGTCCATTTAAATTCTCACTGGTGAACTAAGCTATTTATCAAATTGCAAAAAAAAAGACATACAAATAAACAATGTATGTGTTTAATATGAAGATAATATAACTGTGAGCTGCATTATTATTACTGTAAGTTTACTATATATGTTATTATACAAATACTTGTAATATGTAAGCAGCATTGCTGTACAATAGGGTTGTAAAAAGAGTTTATTGATAATAAAATCCAGTAGTACATACTGTATGATTTATGGAATGCTTTATTTGCTTATACCAACAGTTTTTATTACGAAAACTACTTATCCAAAAAAGGTTAGAACAGATGAGATCATGAAGTTGACAAAATCAATATTATACTATTGATCGTATACAAAAAATACACCGCCAGCACAATGTATGAGACAGCTAAACATCTGGCAGTTGCACGTAACTTATTTGATTTAGTTCATTCATTCTGCCAATGTATGACTACTAGTCACCATAGGGAAGCGTCTGGAGAGTCCTATGGAATATCATCAGATTCTAAGAACCACTACTAGATTCTGCAGAACCACCACTAGACCATGATACATCTGATTCTGCAGACGTTTCATCAGACAATTCCTCGAATATATTGACAAGAGCAGGAGTTTGGCTGAGAGACTGGACTGTAGATTGCAGAGTGCTTGGCGCTGGCTGTGAAGGCTTCGGCGCTGGACTTGAGGTTTGGATGCTGCTCACTTCAGTAGGCTCAGTAAAAGTAGGAGTTTGAGTGGATTGGTGAAGGGAGGGCTGGGCTTCTGTTGGCTCAGCTGCTCGAGGCCGGGAGGTTTGTGGGGAGGAGATTGAGGGAACAAAGGGCCTTGAGTTTCTGAGACGAAGATCTGGATGCAGCATAATGCCTGGTCCTATTGGATCAGAGATATGAGAATTTGCTCACAATTCAAGGAGAGGATTATTTCTCAAACTTAAATTTGTGGACACACAGCAGGTGCTTTGACATCTAAGTACCTTTCGCTTGTCCAAAGCTTTCAAGTTCACTCCACCTGGAGACGCCCAGCACAGGCACCTTGGCCCTGCAGCTGTACTGGCCAGGAGTCCGTCTAACCAGATCATGGTTCTCAGAGGTTGCTGTACCCAGTCGGTTGTCGTTCTTGTAGAAATAATAGTTTATTGGAGGTGCAGGAGCACGAGCGTTGTATTGGAGGTGGCAGATAAGCTTCATTTTATTCGCTGGAATCAGGTCACTGTCTGCAACAATCTCCAAAACTGGCAGTGACAGAACATCTGAGATAGGAGAGAAGAAAAATACATTACTGACACATTCAAATGGGTTGGAAGAATAACGGGAGAAGAGTTTGTTCCCCATTGTATGATCATTTAACAACTAATAAGGGCATTTTCAAAAATTTCGAACAATAGTTTAAACATTTGCAACCACAACCAAACTCAGCATATAGTACCCAGTATATAAACTCACCTAAGATCTGCACTGAAGCATCAGCTGAGATAACAGAGTGCGTGCGTCTGGCTATGTCCCAGGAAGCCCTACAAGAATACACTCCTTGTTCCTCGTGGGTCAAGTTGGTCAGGTAGAAATATGGGTTGAGGCCATTTTGTCTCATTACTTCAACAGCATCTTTGTACAAAATCACTTCATGCAGTGGGGGTTTGCCTCGTGCGCGACACATCACCTTTAAGGTGTCACTGACGAGGCTGGGCTCAGGTGGGACTTGTAGGATAACCCACCCTCCTGAATGAAGAATGCAGAAAAACAAAGTTACATCCAAGTATCATCTGGTGTTGATATTAACAGCAATAAAACAAGCTAATGGCAGCGGGTTAAAGTTGACCCTTAAATGCAAATGTGTCTTGAAAGGGTTTTCTTTTCTTAAAAACACACCCAACATTTTAAAAGAAGTTGAGCACTGCAAGAGTTTAATGTTTCACAATTTTCAAAGTTTACAACATCAGCACAAGTAGGCAAGAAAATAGCTTAAAAGAGGAAGAAGGGGCATGATGTGTTAATCAAGGGATTTCGAATGAAATGATACCAAGGTTCTTACCATCCACATTGATCTCCAATGGCAGACTTTGGAGGGTCTTTATGTCTCCCACTTGTGAGTCCCTCACTCCCTCGCAGTAATATTTCCCACTCTCTTGAACCTTCATTTTCCACAAAATAAGGAATTGGCCACGCTGTGGGAGCTGCTCAGATCCTCTGAACCACAGGTGGCTCCAGGAGGATCGGACATCAGGAACACTGCATTTCAGCCGGACAGTCTCTCCAGAGAAGACCCTTGAATCCCCTGACACCATCTCCACGACAGCTCTGAACGGGGCCTCAGACGGAGCTATGGAGACAAACACATATGGGATTTTTAAAGAGAACTGTCATAAAATACCTGCAGTGTCTTTATTATGATTGGCACTGTTCATATCATGTTCTAAAGTTCACGTCATCTTTTCAGTGTTGATATACTAGTTTGTACAGGATAATGCTCATAGTCAATTCAAACAATGCATTGATAAGACAAGAAAATAATTATAAAAAGACGTGAGATGTGAGACGTGGTGTGAATCAATAACTCACCTTAACTTTTTCAATAATGTTTTAGTATATATTGTTTTCCATGTAAAGAAAACATGTTATTCTTGCATTTGTTCAAAAATGTTTATGAAGTTGACAATACATTTCAAACGTATATTTATGTATATACGTTCTATTCAGACAGTATGCTTGCAAATGTTGACACTATGTGATGTGAAATGTATCCCATATTAAGAATTCACTGATAGGAACATGTGGTACATACCCCCAAGTTGTGGTAGCATCGAGAGAACTGAAAAAGAGAAAAAATCAGGCGTTAGACAAATCAAAGTTGACAACAATCTTTTAAAAACATCGTTACATTTGAGATGTTGCAAATGAACAGAAGAAAACTCACCACAGAGGAAAATGACCGGGTTCATTTTGATGGCTTGTGAGAAAAAGGCTGGGAGGGAGATTGTTTTATTTCCAGTGGAGTGGGAAGTGAAAATGAGTTTTTTTTATCAGCTTAAACATGTCACACAGGATATCCCCATTTTCTTTAAATAGCACTTGCATTTCTGAAGTTTATAAAGCTCTCACAAACCGATTGGCATTACAATTGAAGGGAACCATCACCTTTTGTGATACATAATCTGAGCCATTTTTAATTTTTTACGATTATATTGTTATATTTTCCTAATTTCTAATCCATTTTCTTGAAACCCCCCAAGGTTTACTCAATGGGGAATTTGGGAAAAACCAAAAGGAAGTGAAACTAACACACCCTTATTTTCCTCGGATCCTGAATTTCAATAGAAAGGCACATGATGAGAAATACAAAAGGGACTAATAATGCAACAGAACAATTAATATTGTTGCAAATTAACTAAATCAAAGCTCATTTTAAATCTCTCCTAATATGTTTTATGATTGAAATTTCATAAACTCAAT